AACCCTTTTGCTTAACACAACTCCCTCTATGTTAATTTGCATATATGTATCCTCATTGTCTTCATTTCTATTTTCTTTGTTCATTTTAGTATCACCCATCTATTTTAATTTTTTATTAAGAAGCCGTTTATTTTTTGAATCAATTTTAACTCAAATGCTACCATTAATGAGATGGAATTGTTTCATACTCATAAAGGTTTTTTATACGGTGTATATGATATTACGAATGTTTTATTTGGACTGTTTTCAGTCTCAGAGCAGACCAGACTGTGATAGTTATAAAATACACAGAGACCAGACGTTTATCAGACGAGACGTTTATCAGACAAAACCAGACCAGATCAAACCAGATCAGTAAATTTCAGTCCAACTAAAAACATCCTACGTATATAATGTGTAGTATGAAGCAATGCCATTTTTTCAGAAACCAACCTTTTGAAGTTACACTTAATTATAGATGTCTACATCTTCACGGATGTCAATTGGCAAGTTAACCCTTGGTGAGGAAACATAGGTGACTTATGTCCGACTATAGAGGTGGAGAGCGGGAGAGGCACAACTCGCTCTAGGCTTTTAGGGACAAATGAGATTAACTTAATTTTACACTTCCCTAGTAATCATAGAAAAAGACTACAACTTCAATATGAAAAGTAAAACCTACTCCATCCGTCCCATAAAACTTGGCCGTCTAAAAAAACTTTGTCATTTTCCTTTAGAGTAAGGAATATATGGCTAAAGTTATTTCTCTCTCCTCTGCACAAATTTCAACCACACATTTTTTACTTTTTTAATCTACGTGCAAGTCAACTTTGACCAAATTTTGTGGGATTGAGGGAGTATTTGGTAATTAAAACCTTAAGCTGAAATAGGACAAATTCGACATAAAGGGACATCAAACTAAACCTATGGTTGGTGTACTGTACAAGAATGTGTGCAGAATTACATATAAGAAGCAAAATCAATTTGTTAAATCACTTACGGCCTTACGGGAAACAATTTTGGAGTGATGCCCTCCCTGTAAACCTTGTTTGTATACAAAATAGTTTTGCAGCCATAAGACCATAACGATTGGTATATGCCCTGGAAAAGGGCTATGCATATAGGGAGTATGAAAATTGGAAAAGACCTAATTCACCATTTTCACATTAATTAATGGTGAAACGGGAACAATGATGCGGGAAGTGGACGGATGAGGTTAACACCGTTAAAGAATGTTATGGCAGGCTAAATTAACACAAACGGAAAAAACAAGGGCACTAATCAAGAGTACATCGTTTAAAATACATAGTACAACCACATGTTGCATGCTTTTACACCAACACATTTTTTATATCTAAAATGTGCTAACCTTCATTGGTGTTTATAAGATTTTAGATTTAGATAATGTACCAATATGTAACATTTCTAAATCTGAGCATGTAGAATGTATTTATTACTGGGTTATTAAACGATTTACATAAAGAAAATATGTGCACATATGACATATATAAAAAAACATAACGAAAAATCCAGAAAAAGTACCTGCAGTTTAGGCTTAGGCTGTTTTCGTACAGGGGCACGTGTTTTATTTTTTAACAAAGTGGGACATGTGCTTCAATTCCGTTATAACAACTGGAGCATGGCGTCTAATGCTATTAGAAAAATTAACTCTAATTTTCAAAAGTCTCTGAAAATTAATAGAAAAGTACTAGAGGTGCGTCTCGTCAAGAAGACATGTCCGACTATGATAGTCTAGAGGTCCCCTTGACGAGACGCACCTCCGAGTATTTTTCTTTTAATTTTTCGGAACTTTTGAAAATCGAAGTTAATTTTTATACCAGCGTTAGACATGGCATCCAGCTGTGATAACGGAATTGAAACACATGTATCACTTTGTTAAAAAATGAAACACATGTCTCTATATGAAAAGGGCCCAAACCACATGTACCTTTTTGTAAATATATGATAAATATTTGCAAACATGTCCTTGTATTTATAAATATTTACGACTTTTCCACGTGTTTAGTGTACTATATTATTTACAAAATTTGTTTCTCTCATTTCGTTTCTCATATCTATGCTATTTAAGAGGCCGTTTGGAACCATTGTTTTTCGGCTTATCAGGCTTATCAGCCAACTTATCACCAAACACGTAATTTTTGCTTTCGTGCGCTGAATTGTGTAATAAGCAGAAAAAGTAAGGTTGGAGTTACTTTTCTGACTGTATTGGCTGAAGTTACTGTAGATGACCATTTTAGCCATTTTTACATATAATTTTTTCTTTATTTTATTAATAAAATACTACGTATATTTTAAAAATATTTTTTTCTTAAATCAGCAGAATCAGCCAATACAGGTACTTCAGCCAGAACTTCATAAATTTCAGCAGAATCAGCCAAAACAGCCGATTTTCGTGCTACCAAACGGGCTCTAAGTTGGACATCAAGATTCTAAATTAATTCCAGAGATTCTACATAACTATCTTGTTTTCATTTTTTGGTTGTTACAAAAAAAAACTTGTTAAGGTTTTATAAAAAACAATCGGTTCATATCTTTTCACCTATTTATTCAAATCTTAAGTATACTTTGTTCCTTTTGAATTTTGAATTACTTCATTGATAAGAATGTTTTTAGTCGAAGTGAAATTTTCTAATATGGTATGACCTGTTAAATCTGATATGGTCTAAACTAGTCCAATATGATATAGTAGATATCTAATATATGTGTATTTTACAATTGTCAAAGTTTGATATAATCTAGTCCAGTTGGTTTATTTTTATCTAGTTTGTTAAAATCTGGTTTGATCTGATATGTTTTGGAATTGAAATAAATCCACATAAAACAAATTTTAACAACATAATTCATTTGGGAATGAGAGTCTTATCGTATATAAAAAAATACAATATAAGTGGAAATGTGGAATGCAATTCAATGTTTGGATGGAAAATGATCCCGTCGCAAGGAACTGGAGTACTGGACCAATTCTGTTACCTTTCTTGTTTATACGTTGAAATGTCACCCTCCCCAACGGTGTAAGGCAAGTCCAACAAATTGGGACCTACAAAATAAGGACACTTCAAGATTGCACCATAACTTTCGGCCACATGATCTTGATCATGATGTACTCAATTGGATTTCCACCATAGCCATTATTATTAAATTTTGAGCTATTCAAGTACCAAAACATTTAGCTTATGGCCTGCCAACCCTATGCTAATCATAACGTTTTATTAAACCAAAAAAATAAACTAAAGGGCTAAGGCATTGCTCATAACCACATAAATTAAATGCATCACGTCTACTGGCAATATAACTCATATTCTTTATCTTTAGGTACTACCTCTATCTCAGTATGCAATTCTAAAAAAATATCCCAATTTTTTAGAACAGTATGCTAACTTTTAAAAAGTTACCACCCCTTTAAGGATATAAATAACTAAAGCTGACTGCATGTAATTTGTTTTAGGGAATTGATGAAGTAATTTGAGACTTGTAAAAGATGGTGTATGAGTTATATTTTTTTCCCCATTTTAAGTTATTAATTAGGCATTTTTTAAAAAACACAATGTCTGGGAGCCTGGCAACTTCAAGTTTTCACTTGATCTAGTATCATGTACAATATGTAAGAACAAAAGTACTTAATGCGCACATAATGGTAGGAGCTGAGGTGATAATAAACTCTACCAGTTAGGTTGAGCAACTTCAATTCGATTCTTAAATATATAAACCTAACAGTAGAATTAGGTTGGTTGTAAAAGAAAAGATGGCAATTTAGAGAAGATGATGGAATGGTGTTAGCACTTATCAGTAGTATAATAAAGAGCAAAATGACTAGAAAAGGAAACAGTACATGGGACAAAAGGGAAGGCCCCATAGCTACTTCAACTGCCATCTTCAGGGTTTCCTTGGAGTAGCATTAAAGACTGTGATATCTCAATCTCCTTCTTCCTCTTTTGCTTCTCCTCTCTTAACTTCATCTCACTCTTTCACCATCCAAAACCGAACAGATTTGTATTACCCCCTTTTAAGCTCCTAAATCATAGAAAATGCTACATATTATATGGAACTCAAACTACTCACCAAAAGTTTAATGAGTTTTATACAAAAATATTTTCAAGAACCAAGAACATGAAATGTCATGGCTCTCATATTCTCTATATGCTTCTCATCTTCACCATCACCGTGACACCCTTCACCACTCGTGGCATGAACACGGGTGCCTCATTAATCACCCCGTCCCCAGACTCAGGAGGAGATAGAAATGAGAATGGACACAAAATTCTTGAAAAGGTGAGAGCTTTGCTAGGAGTGGATATAAGCTTCTTCAAGTTAGAAGTTGTTGCGAACAATGCGGGTGAAGTTTCAGTCTCCTCGCCATTATCGCCCACACCATCACCTTCTACCTCTCCGCGAACATGGAGGCGAGGGACCCACCGAAACTCACATTCCCCTCGGATTCCACAATCCCCACAGAACAAAGTTAAGGAGAACAAGAAAAGGGATGGAGAAATAACAGTCAGTTCTAGAAGGGTTGTGACAGCAGTTATTGTGTCGGCGGCTGTGACATCTGCTTTTTGCACTATTGGTCTTTTATGTGGATTCTTAAGGTTCAGGAAACATATGAAGAGAAAGAAAGATTATAACAATACACCCATCTCTACAAAGATCAATGAGGAGGAAGAAGAAGAAATAAATAAAGCTGGCCGGCAGGAGATTGTGGCTGTTCGTACATCAGAAGAGGATGATGACGATGATGATGGTTCATCCGATGCAGAATCTTTCCATTCTGTATGCAACGAACATATTGACTCGGCTGAGATTATCTCCCCGGATGGGTCAAAGCTACCATCCAAAAAAGTGCCACCGCCTCCTCCTCCTCCGCCACCACCACCACCACCACGGTTGTCACAGCCTTTTAATGAAGCATCAGTTTTCTTGACGTCACAACCTTTTCCTTCACGCAGGAGCTTGGATTCTTGTGCTTCATACCGAGCGGCAGAAAACGAAATGCTGCGGGAACCTCCACCTGATGCTAATTTTTTCTCAAAAGGTCCGCCACCACCTCCGCCATCACAGCCGTTCTGTGGCACGCCATTTCTGGGAAAAGATGGGAATAAACTCCCAAAACTGAAACCTCTCCACTGGGACAAAGTAAGAGCTCCACCTAATCGTTCAACAGTATGGGACCAGCTCCAACCTAGCTCATTTGAGTAAGGTTCTCATCTCCAAATTAGTCAAATCTCTTTCATTTATTATAAGATATATAGTTCAATTTACTAAGGTAGTGTACCTAACATAGATTTGATTAGTCTAAGTCATTGTCTTTATTAAGACTTAAACTGAAGATGAGTGTATGTGTGTTAGTTTAAAAGTAAGTTCATACTACGACTCAGTATTTTTTACTCCATAACTTTTAATTGAGATAAGTCGAATGGCTAACATGCTTAACAGATACTACCTCCATCCCATGCAAAGGTTCTCCAATATTCACCGGTCAACGTAAAGTCTTCTTAATCTTTTAATTTATACATCCAACTTTTATCAAATTTGATTTTTTGTGACTTTATATCACTTTTAATGTAGTTTCTGAAATATGTAAATTTTATTTACTAAAAAAATGTAATTACAAACAGGGATCAATTAGCTTTATGGTCAGTCAAACATCGTAAACCGCGTGGGAACCTTTCTACACGACGGAGTATGTATTACTAGTTTTGTTTTTTTATTAATTGTAATAATTCGAATTTTGCAAAACTTAAATATTGAATTTATTTTGGATTAAAAAATTGAGAATTTTTTCTGTTATTTTTTTCTCAACTTAAAATTTCATAAAATGGGTTTCTCCTAACTTTATTAATACAACAACAACATCCAGTCTTATTCCCAAAAGATTTTGGGGTCGGCTTTAACTATTATTAAAAGCTAATTAAATATATTAAGGATCAAACTTTCCTGTTTGTAAATGTAAAAATTAAACTCTTACCAACAAATGAGAATGGAAAACATACATGAGTGACTTATTGAATCTATAGATTGAGTCGGAGTAACACTGATTTGCTTAAAATGCATTAATTCAACTGGGAATTTCTTTAATTTATCTATGATGGCATGGAGCAGATTTGATGAGGAAAAGATGGAGTCGCTTTTCGGTTATGACAACCTACAAAACTTTATCAACGAGGATGCTAAAAGCAAATCTTCATCTCCGAGGAAACATGTTCTCGAGCCGAAGAGATTACAGAATATAACCATACTTTCAAAAGGTTTGAACGTCACTTCAGACCAAGTTTGTGAGGCTTTATTAAAAGGTAATGAGGGTACCATGGCCAGCCAAGATTTCCAATACATTTAAAACCAAAAAGATGCATTATTTACCTAGGAAAAAGTGGCTAATTATTTTCTCTTTTAATTTCCCTTATCAGGAAAGGGGCTTTCTCTGAGAGAATTGGAGGCATTGGCAAAAATGGTACCAAACAAGGAAGAAGAAGCCAAACTGAGAAGTTACAAAGGAAAAATAAATGAATTAGGATCAGGGGAGAAGTTTGTCAAGGCAATGTTAGGGGTGCCATTCGCTTTCGAGAGAGTTGAAGCCATGCTTTATCAAGAAACTTTCAGTGATGAAGTTCTTCATCTCCGAAAATCTTTCTCAACGCTTGAGGTAATATTTAAATACTCCGTATATAATACTCTGTCTATATCATACTTGGGTAGTTGGCTAGACATGATAAAAGAATTCACTGATATACTACCTCCATCCTGCGTGAATCTTAACGTTTCAGTTTACGATGTTTGGCTGATCAGAAAGCAAATCTGACAAATTTTGGATTACTGCTCATACTCCAAATTAACATATTCATAAGCTACACTACAAGTTATACTAAGTGGCAAAAACAGAATTCAAATATGATAAAATTTTGATATATAAAATTAGACCTTAAGATGAAGTTCAGTTGTCCCTTTGAATAACAGAATAATACCTGTAAAGATTCAAATGTGACGGAAAGAATAATTTTTAGAAAAGAAATTATACATGAAATAAAGAGTTGTCCGGCGTGCACACGCCATGTTACACGTTTTTGTAGACACCTCGTAGTTGTTTGCATACAAACAGATTTTTACTGAAATAAAACCTTTTTGTGGGACTCTTGATCAGTTTTTCTGTTTTGAGCCCCCTTACCTCACCCCAAATATATCAAGTCAGTCACCATTTTACCCATGTGAGTTTTAATGAGAAAACTCATCCATTTCATTCTAGGAGGCATGCAAGGAGCTGAGATCGAGCAGGCTCTTCCTAAAGTTACTGGAAGCAGTCCTAAAAACCGGAAACAGAATGAACGTAGGGACGACACGAGGCGGAGCAAGATCATTCAAACTAGATGCTCTCCTGAAGCTGGCTGATGTGAAAGGAACTGATGGCAAAACCACACTCCTCCATTTCGTCGTCCAGGAAATCATCCGCTCCGAAGGCCTCAAAGTCTCTCAGAGTATAATGGGAAAGATTGAACCCACTGACTACAGGAAGATGGGTCTGGATCTAGTCTCCAGCCTCAGTAATGAGCTCTGTAATGTGAAGAAGACTGCCACCAGCGTTGACATAGACGTGCTCGCTAATTCTGTCCTTAACCTTTCTGTCGGATTGGAAAACATAAAGAGGCTCTTGAATAAGGACTTGGTAGGTGTGGAGGAAAAAGATGGCATCTTTCTGCAGTCTATGGGGTTGTTCTTGAGTTATGCAGAGAGGCTGTTGAAGGACTTGAAGGAAGATGAGAAGAGGGTGCTGTTGAGGGTGAGGGAGATCAGGGAGTATTTCCATGGAGATGTGAGGGGAGATGAATCAAGCCCCTTGAGGATTTTCATGATTGTCAGAGATTTCTTGGGTATGTTAGATCATGTTTGTAAAGAGCTTAGAAACTCAAAACCTTCAACTGCTCATCCTAACCCTTTATTATTATCTCCATTCAGGTAGTGCCTGATGTAGTTAGTTTGGGCTGGTTTTGTCAATAATTTATTCCTTTTTTTGTGTGTCGGTTGTGTATATTTATATTAATCAGGTGATGTTTATCAAGACTAAATTAAAGATGTTTTCATTTAAACCCAAAGTTTGTTTTCTAGTATTATTTGGTTGTTGTACCAAGCTTCCCCAAAAATAGTGCAAGCAAAAAAGACCGCACTAGAGATAAAACCGTGCTCATTCTAAAAATTTTTGAGTCCCGTGAAAGTAAATGTTGTAACAAACACCTATGGAGTTCAAAAAAATAAGACCATATGACCATGCATCTCAAAGGTATATATGCTAGGGATGATAGGCTCAAAGAAATATAGTACATCCAATAGAGCAATTCTTATGAGAATAATGTGTAAAAAATAAAGTGAAGGTGCACTCGATGTGTATAGCGTATACTATCAGTGGCGTGGGACAAAAAGTGATGTTCTATGCTATTCAATTTACATAAAGGATTCATTGAGTGAGACACTTTTTTACATGAAATGGGAATCGAACATAAGAGCTCATATGCAATTGAATGGTGCATAAGAAAAAAACACTAAGATGTGTACATGACCTCGCCATTAAGAATGAATATACACGAACTCAATAACTCAAAATAGAACCATGAAGCCGGGATGTAGTAGAAGCTAACCATCATGTAAAAAACAGAATATGATCATTAAAACACAAAGACAAGCTTGGGGTGCCCCAACCAAAAGGTATACAATTGTTCAAACATTAGGGTGTCCCCGTAGAAGTAATAAATATGACAAAAAAACCAATAGGTATGCATCAATTCTTGATCAGACTTCCCAAACCTGATGCTTAAAATGTTACAGCTTCACACATATTCTTAGTAAAGTGTAACAGGTCTCTTCAAAATTTACTCTTCTATACTTTCTAATAACAAATCCAGATCGTCTTTCTCTATGACAGATGTGCTACAGGCAAAATAAAAGGGGATTTAAAATTAAATGACATTGTCTTATCATCAAGCAGTGTGTCAAAAAGTGATTCACTAGAGGGCATTTTGCAAGTGTTTTCATAAACTAGAGACTATATTATCCAAAAAGTACAGTGTATTTTTGCAAGGATAACATTGTCATCCAAAACATGTCAAAGACTTGTTTATTGCCTACTCGGCTACTCCTAACACTAGTTTGTCCACCCAGCACATATGTGAGACCCATAAGCCACCAATAGTGTATTAGTGGTACTAATGCCCCAAACTTTTAGTCCATATAAAACACAAAATAAACTAACTACAAAAAATGAATTTGTCAACTTTAGCTAACACACTTCCAATGATCCCAAGAAAATATTTTGGGAAAAGTACGGAAAAGGTACTTGTGGTTGGGCCCACTTTCAGATAGGGTCATGTGTTTCATTTTTTTATCAAAGCGGTTCATGTCAATCATGTGTTTGAGCTCCATTATCACAAGAGGGTCACACCATTAAAAACGCCTGAGGAAGACGATGAACACTAACTCCAATTTTCAAAAGTGTCCGGAAAATTAAAAGAAAAATATCGGAAGGTACGCCGATGACCTCCAAATCAGCTTTGCCTTTGGATTTTTTCGGATTTTTTAAAATGAATTCGCTAATATCATTTTTCTGGTGGACTTTCCAGTGACAAGGATGGCTGGAAACGAAAAAGAAAGATGGTCTAGAGGTACTTTTGATTTTTTTTTTTATTTTCCGGGCACTTTTGAAAATCGGAGTTATTGTTAATCGTCTTTCTCCAGCGATTTCTAATGGTGTCAAGCGCCATGACCCTCTTGTGATAACAGAGTTCAAACACATGAACCACTTTGATAACAAATGAAACACATGACCCTATCTGAAAACGGATCCAACCACGGGTACATTTTCCGTACTTTTCCCAAATATTTTATCAAGATATCAATAAAAGACACATTAGTCAGTCAATGACCCGACTTGATTCTGTATATGTTCCATATAATTTTCTCTAACCTTTGGTTACATAGATATAGTAATTATAATAAAATCCCCATATTATTTTCTCTAACCTTTAGTTAAATAGATATAGTAATTATAATTAAATGAATATAGCATTCATACACTTACTAATCAAAACCATTGTAGTCAAAGTCGTGAGGCGCACTCAAGGCGCTAGAGTATTTATATCGCCTGAGGCGCAAGGCGCAAAAAAGCGCTTGCCTGACTCATGTCAAGCGCACTTTGTATAAAATATTATGTATACTATTCTAGAGTGATCAAATATGACATATTCAACATCATATTGAACTAAATGCATTAAAAAGTCATGTCTCTCAATAGCTGGTTTTGAGGTTTGAGGATTGGGGTAGCATAAATTGTGTAGTGTATGAAACTATTAATTAAGTTAGATTATATGAAGTTTAATAAAATTATAATATGAACTGATAATAAGAAGATATATATAGTTATAGACTGCATATAAAGTATAGAAGATATAAGAAGCAAAGAGAGCTATAAAGTGTAGAATATATAAGAAGCAAAGAGAACTATAAATTATAGAATATATAAGAAGCAAAGAGAAATATAATATGTTTGAGTTGTATAAAATATATAAGAATAAAAGAGAACTATGTTACTATAGAAGTAAAGGATGAAGATAGATTGAAAGAATAAAAAAGAAAGGATCAATGAAGATGACAAAATAAATGAAAACTATAATCTGAAAAAGAAAAATGAAAGAACATGGGAAGATGATGAAAAGAAAGACACCTTATGGGTTTCTGACTTCTGTGGGTTGATCATTGAATGTTGTTTCAGCGCTGAACTAGTTGCATGAGTAGAGCATAGCAGAAGTAACGATGAAGTCACGCTATAGAAGTTATTTTACCGTGACTTAGAAGTTAGAAGGGCTTAACATGGGTTTAAGTTATTTTGACCTGTTATTTGAATGGGCAAAATCTTATTATAAGTATGGGCTTGTTATTTAAAGTAGGACCAAACAAATAAATAGGCTGCTACTCCTTTCCCAGGCCAGGCGACTGAAGCGTGCGCTTTTTTGCGCTTAAGGCCTTCACCGCTTCTGCGCTTATTGCGCCTCACTTGCGCTTCACTCAGTTGGCTGCGCCTGGGACTCTAACAGTCGCTGACTCTCATATGCGCCTCGCCTGGTGCGCTTAAGCGCTCAGGCGCGCGCTTTTGACTACCCTGATCAAAACTTAATTGGTATTACTATAAGTCACCATGAATGTTCCTAAATCTTAATCAAATTTTGTTGACAATCATGTGCAATGCTTGCATATAGGAAAGAGTAGGATTGGGCATATCAATTTCAGTTTGGTTATTTGTGATTCGTGTCTGATTTAATTTGAAACGGATTAGAAGAAAGATTATCAGACAACAATCACACATAGTACGATTTTTGGATTTTATTCAGTTCCAGTTAGTTCGATTTGATTCGGTTAGTATTTGTTATTTTTAATATATATATATATACTCCCTCCGGTTTTTAATAAACTTCACACTTTCCTTTTTGGGACGGTCTAAAATAAACTTCACACTTCCTTATTTCCTTTTTTGGCAAAGAAATCTACATTAAAACAGTGCCAAACAGTATCACAACATAGCCAAACAGTGTCTCAACAGTGCCAAACAGTGTCAAACAGTGCCTCAACAGTGTACTCTACAGTAAAGTCAAATTTCTTTCCTTATTTTGTGTGAAGTCAAAGTGTGAAGATTAAATAAAACCGGAGGTAGTATATATCACTACGGGTCATCCGGAAACAGTCTCTCTGTGCTTTAGTATAGGGGTAAGACTGCGTACATCCGACCCCCCTTACCCCATCGTAGGTGGGAGCCTTTGCGGCACTGGGGTTGATGAAAATGATGATGAAATGATATATATATATATATATATATAGAGGAAACTTCATGTCAGGCCGGCCTGACAAGCTGTTCCGTCCGGCCGAGCCCGTTTGGGCACCTTCCAGGTGGAATTTTTTGATGAAATTTTTTGAGCATGTTCCTCATCAAGTCTAGTTTGTCCATACCAAATTTCAGCTCAAAATTCGATCGGGAAGGCATTCAAATTATTTTTTGAAGTTGACTGCAGTTTTATATGTATATTTTGACGCAGTCAACTTCAAAAAATGATTTGAATGCCTTCCCGATCGAATTTTGAGCTGAAATTTGGTATGGACAAACTAGACTTGATGAGGAACATGCTCAAAAAAAATTCATCAAAAAATTCCACCAGGAAGGTGCCCAAACGGGCTCAGGCGGACGGAGCAGTCCGTCAGGCCGGCCTGATGAGAAGAGCTCTCTCTATATATATATAAAGATTTTATCAAATTTTGTAGTCGATTCGATTTATTTATTTTCTTCTCGATTTCGATTCAGTATCCAATTTAAAAGAAATTCTCCTAAAATCAAACCAAACAATATATGATCGATTTTTTACTCGATTTAGGTGGATTCAATACGATTGGGGAAAATGTCAAATAAGTCTTGTACTTTCTCAAAAAAGTAAATTAGGAGCAATGGCTTCCTTAGTATCAAATTCAACACCGCTAGGATGAAAACTTGAGCAGAAAATGTAGGCTACGACGATGGAGACGGAATTAGAAGGTATAGGCGATGGCCGTGGAAACTGAACCTGAAGAAATCGGCTGGGATACGTACACAGATGTTTCCCCTTATGCTCATCCAGATGCTCCTCTCTCAATCAGATTTAATTTATGAAGTAAGGTAGACATAGTTTTCAAATCCAGTAAATATAACATAATTTTCTCACTTTCTGATGTGTAAACCAATAAACTTGCCGCTAATAATTTCCAGTAACAAAAAGAGGAAGAAAGAGAATAAAGGGGGAAAGAAAACAGAGAAGTTACCTGGGCGGCGACTGACTGGTGGATCTGCCGGGCACGGGGAAGGGCCGCCAAATTTTAATATGGAATAATTAAAAGGCAACATCAAACAATTACCTACTTCTTCCACTCACCTTTATCCTTTCCTCATTGCCACATGACGCAACTGTTGCCAGCTACGAGCAGGGAGACTCAAACAACGGAGAAATAGAGGGCTTAGCACGCCTTGAAGAGACTTAAACTAGTGTAATTTTGACCGGGTATGAAATTCAAAGGTCTCGGTCACCGCCGGAATGGATACGCGCAAGCTCCGGCAGTGAGAGCTGCTAGAAGAGAAAGGTGCGGAGTTGGAGGCGTAGCTTGAAGTTGAATGGAGTCCTTTTCCGGCAGACTAGTCGGGTTTAATGTAGTCTGATTTTTAAAAAATGCTTAAAACCCCTCCAAGAAAAAATTTAATTGTCAATTAAATCGAAAATAATTAGTATTTTTGTACTTCATATAATTTAGCAATCTTGACAAATTTACTTGCATATTTATTCATAATATGAAGTATTAAGATAAGTGATTTAAAAATTGTTGATTTTATTTTTGAAGGGGTTTTTGTGCATGAATAAACATAACACATGGGGTTTGACGCATTTTTTAAATCACAGGGGCTAATGTACCAATTTTCTAAATTACATGGGGGTTTTGTGCATTAAACACAAAATTTACGAGTATAAAACAATATGGACTTTTTCCCCAAAATAATGTTAAATAATTTTTTTATATCAAAATAAGGTTAGTTTAAAAGTATTTCCAAAAATACTGCTCCCTAAACCCTAGTAAGAGAGTTTCACTTCCTTTATTCGTATAATTACCTATAATATAATCTGAAATAACTCGATCTTTCTAGAACACGTTCGAGACAAATAGCAATCATTCAAAGAACCTTTTTTACATGATTAAATCGTATGGATATGTAAAATACAACATTTCCCATCCTATCATAGCAGTAAAAAGAGGGAAACGGATACAAGTGACGCTTATACAAAATAAGTAATGCATGAACAAGCACACAAGAAGAGAACATGAGAACATGATACAACTTTTTTATTTGTACTTGGATATTGAATATATCGAAGTACAAATATATAAAAAATAAAAAAATAATTTAACACTTTCAAAATTTCTTTTTTTGTAAATGTTGTATCTTTTTTATTTGTACTCCGATTGTTACAAAAAATATATCAAAAGTCATAACTTTTTCTTATCTTTCATAAGACCCTATATTGAATATATACAATAAAAAAATTAATTCTATTAATTTATGCAGCTTATAATAGATTTTTATCGTGCAAACAATAAATCATGAGTGATATTGCTTGTGATAAAACTACACAAACTCCATCACTTTTAATTATTATTTGAAATAATTATATAAATATGACAAAAATAAAGATGATTTACAAAAATATGACTAGTGACTAGAGTAATAATGAATCATAGTAATTCATGTTCAAGTTTTGAACTTAAGTTACCACAACACCACATTGTAGTAATGAATAGTCATATTTATGTAAATATGTTTTATTTTAGTAATATTCTTGTAAAAAACCCTTATTATTTTATTTTATTTGCAGTTTTATTATAAACTATTACTTCTGATTAATTGTGTGCGCAGTAAAATACAATCATAAACTGCTTAAATTAACGGGTCGGGTCGGTTCGAGTTCTCGGTTCTTTTTTTGTAAAAAAAATCGGCTATGCCAACAAATTTTTTGGTAAGTTATAAAATTCTCAAACTAATTAAGTATTAAAATAAAACCATAATATAATAAATTCCAAATAAAAATATAAAAGAACATTTTAATTTAGTTATGAAAATATCTTACAACAAATGTATAAATTGAACATCACATAACCACTTAAGTTAAAATTTTAATCGCTATTCATAAACTAGTTACTATACATAGTTGTCTAATAAAATAATTTAAAACTTATTAAATATTAAAATATAAATAAAGGTAAGATAATAAAACGAATATGTCACACTTCATTAAGTAAGAGTCTTTGTTTACAAAAAAATATTAAACAAAAGTTTGATGCGTTCCGAATAAAGAATTGAGGAAAATAATTTAGGAGTGGACTTAGAAACTCTTTTTAATAGACTACGAGTTTCTTTAATAAAAATCTTTGTCTAGAAACAAGAACATGAAGAGCTCTCGTGTGTTGTTAGTATATTATACTCTGTATTAAATATAATAAAATTTATTAAAAATATATATTAATAGAGTAGTTCACTATTGAGGAACCCTAGCGGCCGTCTCTCCTCTTTGTAGGGGTTGAGATTTTCCGCTGCCCCTATCACTATGGGGTTGGAGCGGCAGTTTATACTGAGTTTCAGTGTTCTAACGCTTGTGATTGCAACTACGTCGGAGAAGATGGCGTCGGCAGATGAACGAGGTGCAACTGGAAGGTTGTATCGAGGCGGGATCATGAAGTCTTGGTCGGTCATTCCGACGGTGGTGGAGTTGGTATTCACCCATATCATAAGAGCTCGTCCTCCTTCGGAACCACCTTCATACCAGAAAGAGCTTTGTGGAAAGATTTTATTTTAATATAATTTTCTCTTATGTATCACTTGTTTTTGTTGTAGTCTAAGTAGATTTGGTTTGAATGTTTGGATTTTTGGAGTTCTTTTGATAGGCAGGATTTCAGTTCAGGTTGTTTTAGGCCTATTATCCGTTTCAGGTTTAGCGAGTCATGTTGCTTTGTATGAGGTGACTGTCTCTAAATCTACTCCTAGGGTTCACGATTGGATCTGTGAATTTTGTCTGAACGTTGTCTTGTATGTGTTCTCGATTTTAATATAACGGCCGCTCTTTTACGATATAAAAAAATTAAAACGATTCTGTCAAGGTACCCATTGTTTCAAAATTTAAGACTCTTTCGATTCCTAAGTTTTAAGGCCATGCCCCGCCCTGAATCATTTGCGTTTTCTAAAATTTGGATTCGACCCTAACCCGCGCCAAACTTGTATTACCCGGCCCGATCCGCAGTTCATGTACCCGTTTGCCCACCCCTAACTGATTCTGTTGAAATTTATGAAATTGTGGTTGAATTGATTGGATTTGATTGATTCTACTGATACATGAAAATATTATATTTAAAATATATTTTATTAATAAAATTAAGAAAAAATCATGTGAAAACAGCTATTATTTCACAACCAGAAAAGTAACTTCAGCCTTACTTTTTCTTATTATTTCACAATATAATTGAGAGCGGGAAATCAAAACTTACGTGTTTGGTGAAAAAATTGGATGACAAGCCTGATAAATTGAAAAAGATGATCACCAAACGAGCTCATATGTCCGCAACAGAATATCATTAGAATAGTACTCAAAAACTTGAGCTTGTTGTTTACTAAATACTAAGTGCATACATGATCTGCAATAGTGTGATATATCAAAATTGAATATTCCGTACTATTTTCCATCCTCTAATAAAATACGAGTAAAATGACGAGACTTTTCATCCTCTATAAATTTTAGATTTTACATAATTTACTACCCCGTATTATTTAACACAAATAATGTTGCATATGTATTAAGTAATGTGCCAGTAATCTTCAACTGAAACACTCAAAGGTTGAGCTTGTCCACTATTTCCACTTCCTTCTTGTGACCAAGAAACAACCTCTTCCGCCGCCCCGCCGCCCCATGTGTTATTCTCTCCTCCTCTTTGGTTGCCGGTGTCCGGTGGCAGATTATTCAGCCGTAGCTGAGCGTCGACAGCCATGCCCGCGTTGGAGGCGGCGGTTTGCACCGACCCCGGCGACATCCCCGGTCCAACTCCGGCGGGTAGCGTCAGCGTTGGGAAGTTGAGCTTGTCCGCTGCCGTGGTTTCTCTAAGGCAAACAAAGGCAACGTCGTGGGCCACCGCAGCCGCCTCCGGAGTGGCGTAGGTGCCCAACCAAAGGCGGTCTTGGGTCCCGGGGACCCGAATCTCCGACACCCATTTCCCCCATTTCCGGCGACGAACGCCTCTGAATTTGATATTGGACTCTCCAAAACCGCTCATTGTATGTAATGCATGTATGTTAGTTACTTTGCATGGAAGAAATGATATTTATAGGTTGAATATGAAAAAGTCAATAGGGATAGGTTCAAACATTTAAATGATTTGAAAAATATG